TTTTTTTTTTTTTTTTTTTTTTTTTTTTTTTTTTTCGCTGCATTAAGTTATTTGAGAAAAATCACGAAAATCAATGGTGAAAAGGGACATTAATTCTAATTTGATAGAAATGTTGCTGAAATGCATTGTAATGGTTAGTATTTGTGTTTGGATCACAAGTGAGGAGACATTTAGCAGATAATAGGAAACGGCTGAAGCCTTGGAAACGTAAATGTAAAACACCAATGATATCTTATACTGACAAGGAAACAAAAGAAGTACTGAGATTAGAAAAAAAGATAAATTGAAGGTGAAAGGCCAAGGAAGAGCGGATACGGGGATGGATGCTAAATTTCTACATTTAGAAATGAAACATGTAACTAAATGGGTAACCTAGAACCAACACTACTAAGTATTTTTAAGCATTGTAATTTAGAAACTTAATTTAAACCTTAGGAAGTACGACAAGAAAACATGAAATTATTCAAAGCTATATTATAAACATCATATTCACCGACAGGAAATACACATAATTATTTACATAAAGGATATCAATAGGTATTTGTGTGACACTCACGAAATATTAAACCAATTACAGAGAAAGGGCGGTATGTACTTTTATTATTGTAAAAATCATAATTGGCAAAAATTAATTAAGCCTGAAAATGATGATTTAATTATTCGACATTTGTGTATTCTTTCCTGATAATTCTTAATTAATCTGTTAATGTTTTTCACCTTTTAATTTAGTAATTAAAAAATTCCACGGTGTTCATCATCAATCCATTTTACCTTTTACTTTTTCCATCACATGAAAATAATCTGAAATTCTTTAGCACATCACTGTTCTTGGCACACGAGCTAATTTACTCACGTCAAATTTTAATCAGTTGTGGAATATAAACAGTTTATAATGGTTATTCATTTCACGTGTAGATCCACATTTCTCTGATTAATTATTGAGACAGTGGGGGTCCTCTCAGATGTGCGACAACTATTGGGATTTGTTTAAAGTTTAACTGAGAGGATGGTGTGATACGGTCATCTGTCATATTCTTTCTGTAGATAACTCATACATTATTTCACTGATACCACTGTTTACATCCAGTAGGCACCAGAAGGAGTTTAAAGGCCTCTCATATGTGCCGTTACAAGAGGAGAATGAAGAAGAAAAGTTACAGTGAATGAAAAAAAATAAAGACGCGCCAAGACTAGCAAAAAGCACCGAGAATTATTTTTTAGATATTTACAAAGCAAGAAAAATTAATTTATTTGGTCATATACAGTAGCTAAGGATGATAGAGATATTAATGGGTGAGGGGAGGCAGATGGATAGCTGGGTCCCTGAGAAATTAAAAATATGGGAGAAGAACCAGAGGAAACCTGAGCACGTTTGAAGAGGCTAGCCGAGGTAGTCAACCTCACACTTGAGAATAACACATATTGATTAATTAGTTGTGTATAATTAGAAATCGTAACTCCTTTGATCTTACATTCTCATATTTCCACAACGCACAAGGTCCCTTTGACAGATTGTTTACTCCCATATACAGTATACTGCTGATTGTTGGGCCACGAGCTAGGGCGCCAACTACTATAAATTTCTTCCAATTTATACCAATCATTTAGTCCTCTGCTTGTTTGACGAGTTTTCAATAAAATATTTAATTCATGACAAAATTTATTGTTCACATCTATGGTCACACTCATATATTACCCCGTGCAACAGTAATTTATATGCTGTAGTTTGTGGTCCCACAATGAATTTCTAGTCTCATTATCAGTCGTGGAAACCAAATTACAGATTCACCTGGCGTGTAATTGTTCTAACTCATGATTTTTCTGATGATTCTGGTTATTTACCTGAAGTAGATTAGTGACTATTACGAGTCGCTATGATGTTCTAAATAGTTGGTCCTTAATTTTCCCCAAAAACAGATTAGTAAATACGTTTAAATGTCTTATTTATCGTTTATATAATTAATTTGATGTTGATAGTTGCCGTAAAATCATTCATTCCAATACCGTTACATCTGCATTGTTGACCTGTTCCCCGCATCATATACTGCATGTACAAGTTACCAGCAAAAGTTTTCCACAGCCCGGAGAACTTTTGCTGGCAACCGTACAGTGTACATTAATTTAGCAGCATCCGGCAGGTGTAGTACATCAATAAATATGCTGATTAGTTGTCTGATTCATTCTATAGATAACATTTGATCAACATATAACAGTAACGACTCATAATAATTGCTCCAAAATTATTATCCAGGAACCAAGGGGAGAGATGATGACCAATAGTTGATGGTAGTGCAGTGTAAGTTGATGTAGTGTGCAAGTTGATGGTGGTAGTACAGTAAAGTTGATGATGGTAGCAGTGTAAGTTGGATGGTAGTGCAAGTTGATGGTGGTAGTGCAGTGCAAGTTGATGGTAGTGCAAGTTGATAGGTAGTGCACAAGTTGATGGTGGTAGTGCAGGGTGTTGATGGTGGTGGTGTACGTTGATGGTAGTGCAAGTTGATGATGGTAGTGTAGTGCGTTGATGATGGTAGTGCATGTTGATGGGGTAGTGCAGTGTGTTGATGGTAGTGGTGATGCAGCATGTTGATGGTGCGTGATGGTAGTGCAGTGTGTTGATGGTAGTGCGTTGATGGTGGTAGTGCAGTGTAAGTTGATGGTAGTGCAAGCTGATGGTAGTGCAGTGTGTTGATGGTGGTAGTGTGCAAGTTGATGGTGGTGCAGTGCAAGTTGATGGTGGTAGTGTGCGTTGATGGTGGTAGTGCAGTGTGTTGATGGTAGAGTGCGTTGATGGTGGTAGTGCAGCGTGTTGATGGTGTAAGTTGATGGTGGTAGTGCAGTGCAAGTTGATGGTGGTGGTGCAGTTGATGGTGGTGAAGAGTGTGTTGATGGTAGTGTGCAAGTTGATGGTGGTAGTGCAGGTGTTGATGGTGGTAGTGTGCAAGCTGATGGTGGTAGTGCAGTGTAAGTTGATGGTAGTGGTTGATGGTAGCAGTGAAGTTGATGGTAGTGCAAGTTGATGGTGGTAGGCAGTGTGTTGATGGTGGTAGTGCAAGTTGATGGTGGTAGTGCAGTAAGCTGATGGTGGTAGTGTGCGTTGATGGTGGTAGTGCAGTGTAAGTTGATGGTGGTGTGCAAGTTGATGGTGGTAGTGCAGTGTGTTGATGGTGGTAGTGTGCAAGTTGATGGTGGTAGCAGTGTTGATGGTGGTAGTGCGTTGATGGTGGTAGTGCAGTGTAAGTTGATGGTGGTAGTGTGCAAGTTGATGGTGGTAGCAGTGTAAGTTGATGGTAGTGCAAGTTGATGGTGGTAGTGCAGTGTAAGTTGATGGTAGTGCAAGTTGATGGTGGTAAAGCAGTGTAGTTGATGGTGGTAGTGTGTGTTGATGGTGGTAGTGCAGTGTGTTGATGGTGGTAGTGCAAGCTGATGGTAGTGCAGTGTTGATGGTGGTAGTGTGCGTTGATGGTGGTAGTGCAGTGTAAGTTGATGGTGGTAGTGTGCAAGTTGATGATGCAGTGCAAGTTGGATGGTAGTGCAGTGTAAGTTGATGGTAGTGTTGATGGTGGTAGGTGCAAGTTATGGTGGTAGTGCAGTGTAAGTTGATGGTAGTGTGCTGGTGGTGGTGAAAGCAGTGCTGATGGTAGTGTGCAAGTTGGTGGTGGTAGTGCAGTGTGTTGATGGTAGTGTGCAAGTTGATGATGGTAGTGTACAAGTTGATGGTGGTAGTGCAGTGTAAGTTGATGGTGGTAGTGTGCAAGTTGAAGTACAGGTGGTAGTGTGCAGTTGATGGTGGTAGTGCGAGGTGGATTGATGGTGTTAGTGTGTGCAAGTTGGTGGTGGTAGTGCAGTGTAAGTTGATGGTGGTAGTGTGCAAGTTGGTGGTGGTAGTGCAGTTTAAGTTGATGTTGGTAGTGTGCAAGTTGATGGTGGTAGTGCAGTGTAAGTTGATGGTGGTAGTACAGTGTAAGTTGATGGTGGTAGTGCAGTGTAAGTTTATGGTGGTAGTGCATAAGTTGATGGTGGTAGTGCAGTGTAAGTTGATGGTGGTAGAGCAGTGTACTGAAAGTTGATGGTGGTAGAGCAGTGTAAGTTAATGGTGGTAGTGTGCAAGTTGATGGTAGTAGTGCAGTGTAAGATGGTAGTGGTAGTGTGTAAGCTGATGGTGGTAGTTAATGGTGGTAGTGTGTTGTGTGTTGCAGGTGGTTGAGGCCAGCGGCTGGGGGTGGCAACACTTTGGGATGAGGACGGAAGGAACCGCGGGTCATCTTGTCGCCATCAAGACGCTCGACTACGAAGACCAGGCACAGCGTCAGGGCTTCCGCTTCATGGTGCAGGTCACAGACAGGGTGAGTCTTGTGTATCTTGGTGCAGGTCACGGACAGGGTGAGTCTTGTGTATCTTGGTGCAGGTCACGGACAGGGTGAGCCTTGTGTATCTTGGTGCAGGTCACGGACAGGGTGAGTCTTGTGTATCTTGGTGCAGGTCACGGACAGGGTGAGTCTTGTGTATCTTGGTGCAGGTCACGGACAGGGTGAGCCTTGTGTATCTTGGTGCAGGTCACGGACAGGGTGAGTCTTGTGTATCTTGGTGCAGGTCACGGACAGGGTGAGTCTTGTGTATCTTGGTGCAGGTCACGGACAGGGTGAGCCTTGTGTATCTTGGTGCAGGTCACGGACAGGGTGAGTCTTGTGTATCTTGGTGCAGGTCACGGACAGGGTGAGTCTTGTGTATCTTGGTGCAGGTCACGGACAGGGTGAGTATCTTGGTGCAGGTCACGGACAGGGTGAGTCTGTGTATCTTGGTGCAGGTCACGGACAGGGTGAGTCTTGTGTATCTTGGTGCAGGTCACGGACAGGAGTGAGTCTTGTGTATCTTGGTGCAGGTCACGGACAGGGTGAGCCTTGTGTATCTGGTGCAGGTCACGGACAGGGTGAGTCTTGTGTATCTTGGTGCAGGTCACGGACAGGGTGAGTCTTGTGTATCTTGGTGCAGGTCACGGACAGGGTGAGGTCTTGTATCTTGGTGCAGGTCACGGACAGGGTGGACAGGGTGTGGTGCAGGTCACGGACAGGGTATCTTGCAGGTCACGGACAGGTGAGTCTTGTGTATCTTGGTGCAGGTCACGGACAGGGTGAGTCTTGTATCTTGGTGCAGGTCACGGACAGGGTGAGTCTTGTGTATCTTTCACGGACAGGGTGAGAGTAGCAGTCACGGACAGGGTGAGTCTTGTGTATCTTGGTGGTCACGGACAGGGTGAGTCTTGTGTATCTTGGTGCAGGTCACGGACAGGGTGAGTCTTGTGTATCTTGGTGCAGGTCACAGACAGGGTGAGTCTTGGTGTGCAGGTCACGGACAGGGTGAGTCTTGTGTATCTTGGTGCAGGGACAGGTGAGTCTTGTGTATCTTGTCACAGACAGGGTGAGTCTTGTGTATCTTGGTGCAGGTCACGGACAGGGTGAGTCTAGGTATCTTGGTGCAGCTCACGGACAGGGTGAGTCTTGTGTATCTTGCAGCTCACGGACATGGTGAGTCACAGACAGACAGCATACATGTGTGGCTCATACAGACAGACAGCAGCTCGTGTACTCCATGTGTGGCTCATACAGACAGACAGCAGTACTCCATGTGTGGTCAGCTGTGCCATGTGTGGCTATACAGACAGACAGCAGCCTGGGTACTCCATGTGTGGCTCATACAGACAGACAGCAGCTCGTGCATGTGTACACATGTCTCCATGTGTGGCTCATACAGACAGACAGCAGCTGGTACTCCATGTGTGACTCATACAGACAGACAGCAGCTCGTGTACATAGCATCATGTGTGACTCATACAGACAGACAGCAGCTCGTGTACTCCATGTGGCTCATACAGACAGACAGCAGCTGTGTACTCCATGTGTGGCTCATACAGACAGACAGCAGTGTACTCCATGTGTGACCATACAGACAGACAGCAGCTGTGTGCCTACAGACAGACAGCAGCCACTCCATGTGTGACTCATACAGACAGACAGCAGCTCGCACCATGTGTGGCTCATACAGACAGACAGCAGCCTGGCATGTGTGACTCATACAGACAGACAGCAGCTCGGGTACTCCATGTGTGACTCATACAGACAGACAGCAGCTCGGGTACTCCATGTGTGACTCATACAGACAGACAGCAGCTCGTGTACTCCATGTGTAACTCAGACAAAGAAACAAATAAAACTGAATTAAAATAAGTTACGATCATTGCACACAGACCCCCATATAAAAAAAAAAAAATAAAATAAAATACTTATTAGCTAAACCCCTTGGTCACTGTGTTCATGTTTCTGTTTCTTAACTCAAAAAGTATCAGAGCTATTGACCTGGCAAGCATCCAACCAAGACCCATGAACACACAGTAATCACCGAGTACCTCCCTTGATAGATACTCCGTACCTGAAGGAGGAAAGGGGGTGGGAAGGTGTTTGTAACTGAGTTAAATGTTTTAAATAAAGGTTTACGCCTGCAAGACTCCCCAACTCCTAACACTCTCATCCTGCCCAGTTTTACAAGCTATACCAACTGCAATATTTCCGGTACTGAAGGTGTTGAAAAATGACCCGTGATGTTAACGTGAAATTTAATGCTGTGAGGATGTAAGCATTATGAAGGCAGGAGTGTGTGAAGCCCAAGCTTCTACAAGGAGAACAAAGGTTTAAGGAGGAACTATATTCAATACCCAGCTGCCTCTCCGTGATCAAAATTCATTGTTCATGCAAACTTTTGTCATACTACCACAAAGAACCTGAAGTATTTTGAAAGTTTTGGTCAAAATTGGATAAGCGATGTGGCTGAGTGGAAGTGCTGCGTGCTGACCGCCAGGCAAAACTCCCATATATGAATTAAATCTAAAACTGCATGAAGACAGATAAGTAAATATATGAAGATGGAGTATAGGCCTCGAAGACGATGCGGGTGGGGGATAATATGTTTTTGTTTTAGTTGTCTGGCAATAAAGAAATTATATACATGAAAAAGATCTCAGATAATTTTTGAGTTATGCTTATGAAATAGACTACCAGTAATGTATGGAGGTAGATTTGTCCTTATCTATTATAATTATCATAGGTTTTTGCATATGACTGGAGCATTTTAAAATAATCACCGATTGTTTTATAAATTGACTAAAAGAGGATTTTGTAATACTTCTTATGAATGAGATTAGAAGTAACTTTTTAATCTTAATGGACTCTTTACGGTAACAACAATGCTACTTATGAACAATTTATTGCGACAATCAATAATGCCCAAAATAAACACATCCCTAAAAGAAAATTCAGATCGATACGGAACCAACCAAAATGGATGAATAATAGACTCTTAGATCTTCTAGGGAAAAAGAAAGGAGTATATAGAAAAGTTAAGAAGGCGAAAATACTTACTTGGTTACTATCAGAACCTAACAAGACAGGTAAAAACAGAAATTAGGAAAGCAAAGAAATTATGAAATCAAGGTAGCAAACGAATCGAAAAATAACCCCAAAGCTTTTTATCAACTGTATAAATCAAAGGTTAGAGATACAATAGGTCCCTTAAAACTACGACAGGAGAAATGACTGATGATGAGTTAGAAATGTGTAGTACGTTAAATAGTCATTTTCGCTCTGTATTCACAAATGAAAACCTAGCACAGTTTCCAGAAGTTCATAAGGTATATAACAGTATAGAAAATATGTTGATGAATATCAATATTACTAGTAACGATGTGCTTAAAGTAATTAACAAACTGAAGCCTCATAAATCGCCTGGTCCAGACGAGGTATATGCTAGAATATTAAAAGAATGTAGAGATGAGTTGAGTAATCCATTAGCAGTTTTATTTAATAAGTCATTAGAATCGGGCCTAGTGCCAGAAGCTTGGAAACTTGCAAATGTAGTTCCGATTTTCAAAAGGGTGATAAATCAATAGCATCAAATTACCGTCCCATTAGTCTCACGTCAATCATAGGCAAGTTGCTAGAGTCAATTATTGCTACAAAATCAGAAGCCACCTTGAAACATTCAACAATTCATTCTTCTCAGCACGGGTTCACCCAGGGACGTTCTTGTCTCTAAAATTTGCTTAGCTTTTTCTCAAGTATATGAAGCGGTAGATAATGATAAGTCATATGATATAATTTATTTGATTTCAGTAAAGCATTCGATAGAGTCCCTCATGAGAGATTGATAAGGAAGGTAGAAGCACATGGAATAGGTGGATCAGTATTAAAATGGATTAGGTCATGGTTAACTGGTAGGAAACAAAGTCAGCATAAATGGATTAAAGTCAGACTGGGGTGCGGTCAAAAGCGGAGTTCCCCAGGGATCTGTATTAGGCCCTCTGCTGTTTGTTATATTCATTAATGATCTTGATTTAGGCATAACTAGTAGGATTAGTAAATTTGCAGATGATACCAAAATGGGAGAGTGATAAATTCAGACAGTGACTTTGAACACCTTCAAAGATCTAGATACTTACATGAGTGGTCAGTAGACTGGCAAATGAATTTTAATACTGATAAATGCAAGGTACTACAGATAGGAAGACGAATACAAACGTTAAGTATAAACTAGGTAACACGGAAATAGAAAACTCAGTTTGTGAAAAAGATCTAGGTGTATTTGTTAGCAACGACTTGAAACCTAGAAAACAATGTATTAGCGTTCGCAACAAGGCAAACAGGATTCTTGGGTTCATATCTAGGTCTGTGAGTAACAGAACTGCTGACGTTATCTTGAAACTTTACCTAGCATTAGTGAGGCCACACATGGATTATGCGGTTCAGTTCTGGTGTCCTTATTATAGAATGGACATAGATTCTTTGGAGAGAGTACAAAGAATGACAAAAATGATCCATAATATTAGAAACCTTCCATATGAAGAAAGACTGAAAAGCTTAGGCTTACATTCATTAGAGAGGCGTAGAGTTAGGGAGATATGATAGAGGTGTACAAGTGGGTAAGTGGGATTAACAAGGGTAAAATGGAAGATGTTCTGAAGCTCAGTAATAACGAAATAACTAGAACAAATGGCTTTAAATTAGATAAATTCCGATTCAGAAAGGATATAGGCAAGCACTGGTTTGGTAATAGAGTTGTGGATATGTGAAATAGGCTACCGAGTGCTATAGTAGGATCAGGGACGCTAGGCTTCAAGACGAAGTTGGATAGGCATGGAAGTGCTGGGATGGGTGTGAAGGATCTGCCCTGTATGGCCAGTCGGCCTCCTGCAGTATCCACTTTCTTATGTTCTTATGTTCTTATGTGTAAGAGGTGGTGTAAGGAGAGAGTGATGTGGAGAGGTGGTGTAAGGAGAGGTGGTGTAAGGAGAGGTGGT